TACTCCTGGAGCGTCCCCCACAGGGTGCCCCTGGGGACACGGTCATAAGCCTTCTCCAAATCCACAAAACACATGTGGATTGTTTGGGCAAACTCCCATGCCCCCTCCATCACCCTTGCAAGGGTATAGAGCTGGTCCACAGTTCCACGGCCAGGACGAAAACCACATTGCTCCTCCTCTATCTGAGATTCAACTATCGATCGGACCCTCCTCTCCAGTACCTTGGAGTAGACCTTTCCAGGGAGGCTGAGGAGTGTGATCCCCCTATAGTTGGAACACACCCTCAGGTCACCCTTCTTAAAGATGGGGACCACCACCCCGGTCTGCCACTCCCTAGGAACTGCCCCCGATGACCACGCAATGTTGTAGAGACGTGTCAACCATGACAGCCCTACAACATCCATAGCCTTGAGATACCCAGGACGAACCTCATCCGCCCCCGGGGCTCCGCCGCTGTGTAGTTGTTTGACTACCTCAGCAACTTCTGCCCCCGAGATCGGACAGTCCATCCCCAGGCCTCCCAGCTCTGGTTCCTCCTCGGAATGCGCATTGGTGGGATTGAGGAGCTCCTCAAAGTATTCCTTCCACCGTCCGACTATAGCCTCAGTTGACGTCAGCAGCTCCCCATCCCCACTGTAAACAGTGTGAGCGAGTTGCTGCCTTCCTCTCCTGAGGCGCCGGACAGTTTGCCAGAACCTCTTTGGAGCCGATCGATAGTCTTTCTCCATGGCCTCACCAAACTCCTCCCACGCCCGAGATTTTGCCTCGGCAACTGCCACTGCTGCACCCCGCTTGGCTATCCGGTACCTGTCTGCTGCCTCCGGAGACCCACAGACCAGCCACGCCCTGTAGGCCTCCTTCTTCAGCCTGACGGCTCCCCGAACCTCTGGTGTCCACCAGCGGGTACGGGGGTTGCCACCACGACTGGCACCGGCCACCTTACGGCCACAGCTAGCAACAGCCGCCTCGACAATCGCAGAGTGGAACAAGGCCCACTCGGACTCAATGTCCCCCACTGCTCTCGGGACGTGGTCAAAGCTCTGCCGGAGGTGGGAGTTGAAGACCGTCTTGACAGGTTCTTCTGCCAGGCGTTCCCAGCAGACCCTCACTATGCGTTTGGGTCTGCCAGGTCTACGCGGCATGTTCCCTTGCCATCTGATCCAACTCACCACCAGGTGGTGATCAGTTGACAGCTCCGCCCCTCTCTTCACTCGGGTGTCCAAAACATACGGCCGCAGGTCAGATGATACGACTACAAAATCTATCATCGACCTGTGACCTAGGCTGCCCTGGTACCAAGTGTACCGGTGGGCATCCTTATGTTCGAACATGGTGTTCGTTATGGCCAAACTGCGGCTTGCACAGAAGTCCAATAACAAAACACCGCTCGAGTTCAGATTAGGTGGGCCGTTCCTCCCAATCACACCCCTCCAGGTCAAGCTGTCATTGCCCACGTGAGCATTGAAGTCCCCCAGCAGGACAATGGAGTCCCCTGATGGAGCACTATCTAGCACTCGTCCCAGGGACTCCAAAAAGGGTGGGTACTCTGAACTGATATTTGGCCCATAAGCACAAACAACAGTCAGGACCCGTTCCCCGACCCGAAGGCGCAAGGAAGCTACCCTCTTGTCCCCCGGGGTAAACCCCAACACACAGGCAGAGAGTCTCGGGGCTAACAAAAAGCCAACCCCAGCCCTCCGCCTCTCACCCGGAGCAACTCCAGCAAAGTAGAGTGTCCAACCCCTCTCCAGGTCTCGGGTTCCAGAGCCAATGCAATGTGTCGAGGTGAGTCCGACTATATCTAGCCGGTACTGCTCAACCTCTGCCACAAGCTCCGGCTCCTTCCCCGCCAGCGAGGTGACGTTCCATGTCCCAATGCACACAGACCAATGTATTTCCGATGTTTATTACGTTTAATTTTGATATTTATAGGTGACAACCAATGAAAACATCAAATCTGGTATCTCAGAAAATTAGAATATTCTAAAGGCCAGTGAAAAAATGTTTGTTTCTCTAATGTTGGCCAACTGAAAAGAATGAACATGAAAAGAATGTGCATGTATAGCACTCAATACTTAGTCGGGGCTCCTTTTGCCTCAATAACTGCAGTAATGCGGCGTGGCATGGACTCGATCAGTCTGTGGCACTGCTCAGGTGTTATGAGAGCCCAGGTTGCTCTGATAGTCGTCTTCAGCTCCTCTGCATTGTTGGGTCTAGCGTATTGCATCCTCCGCTTCACAATACCCCATAGATTTTCTATGGGGTTAAGGTCAGGCGAGTTTGCTGGCCAATCAAGGACAGGGATACCATGGTCCTTGAACCAGGTGCTGGTGGTTTTGGCACTGTGTGCAGGTGCCAAGTCCTGTTGAAAGGTGAAGTCTGCATCCCCATAAAGTTGGTCAGCAGCAGGAAGCATGAAGTGCTCTAAAACTTCCTGGTAGACGGCTGCATTGACCCTGGACCTCAGGAAACAGAGTGGGCCAACACCGGCAGATGACATGGCACCCCACACCATCACTGACGGTGGAAACTTTACACTGGACCTCATGCAACGTGGATTCTGTGCTTCTCCGCTCTTCCTCCAGACTCTGGGTCCTTGATTTCCAAAGGAAATGCAGAACTTGCTTTCATCAGAAAACATAACTTTGGACCACTCAGCATCAGTCCAGTCCTTTTTGTCCTTGGCCCAGGCGAGACGCTTCTTGCGCTGTTTCATGTTCAAGAGTGGCTTGACACACGGAATGCGACACCTGAATCCCATGTCTTTCATGAGTCTCCTCGTGGTGGTTCTTGAAGCGCTGACTCCAGCTGCAGTCCACTCTTTGTGGATCTCCCCCACATTTTTGAATGGGTTTGTCGTCACAATTCTCTGCAGGGTGCGGTTATCCCTAGAGCTTGTACACTTTTTTCTACCACATTTTTTCCGTCCCTTCGCCTGTCTGTTAATGTGCTTGGACACAGAGCTCTGCGAACAGCCAGCTTCTTTAGCAATCACCTTTTGTGTCTTGCCCTCCTTGTGCAAGGTGTCAATGATTGTCTTTTGGACAGCTGTTAAGTCAGAAGTCTTCCCCATGATTGTGGTGCCTTCAAAACAAGACTGAGGGACCTTTTAAAGGCCTTTGCAGGTGTTTTGAGTAAATCAGCTGATTAGAGTGGCAGCAGGTGTCTTCTATATTCAGCCTTTTCAGAATATTCTAATTTTTTGAGATACCAAATTTGGAGTTTTCATTAGTTGTCACTTATGAATATCAAATTTAAATGTAATGAACATTGGAAATACATTGGTCTGTGTGCATTGCATGAATATAATGTACAAGTTTCACGTTTTGAATGGAATTACTGAAATATTTTCAACCTTTTGATGATATTCTAATTTACTGGCCAGCACCTGTATGAGGACTATGGTGACCGTACGTTCCGTTTTCCCCGGACGTGTCCACTTTTCACTCTCTGTCCGGCGCGTCCGGACTGCGGGTTCTTGTATTGATGAAAATGTCCGGCTTTTCATCCAGGAGCAGGGATCGAATTATGGGGGAGCTGTATATCCTACACATCCAGGTGAACCGGAAAAAGTTTTCTATATTATATCATTTTTGGACTCTTTTGAGCAGAGAGCGGCACAGCGCATTTTTGCGCAGCGATCCAGGCAGCTGCTTCCAGCGCACGGTCCATTCTCAAAGTGGCGCAACCAAAAAACTATAATTAGCACACGATCGTTCATGTCTGCACATGTTCTCTATTTTCTGTCTTATTTGTGCCTGCAGCGCTCTGCTACTGCGGAGCTCATCACCTGTGCTGCGGTGATTTCACCTCACGCAGCATCGAAAACGCGCTCTGCGCTTTGCGGTCAGGAGATCCCTTTGATCTGCTCAACAATAACTGATGAGGTGAAAAAGTAAGAATCCAGGCAGCCGTTTTTCTGGAGAATTAAGAGGAGATGCAGGAAGATGAGAGACAGACAGGACAGGAAAATAGTTAAATAAAAACAAAACAAAACAAAGTGTTGAAAAGTAAAATGTAGGTAGATTTACCTCCACTACACGTTTTTACCTGTATAAAACAATAAGTTACACACATGTAATATTTATAAATTTGATACTATTCAGGTCACCTTCAACACTCAGTCACACACCCAGGGCCGTTTCAAGACATTTTGGGGGCCAAGGCAAAATGCCCCCCCCCCCCCCCATAACTGGGCTCCCCAGAAGCCTCTGTGTAATTCATACCCTCTCCAGTAGTGTTAGTTATACAGTGTTTATAAAAGCCCCTCAGACATTACTGACATGTTCTAATATTATCAGATGAAGAACTAAATTATCAGACATGCTGTCTCATCTGCTGCTTTTCTAAACTTGCAAAAAGTAACAAAACCATTTGAAAGCCACTATTTGTGGATTCTCTGAAAGTTTCCATGGAGTGTGTGACAACTTATTTTTTCAGTCATTTTTGGAAATAGTGATCAATTTTGATTAATTCACAGCCTATGTTTAATTACATTTAAAAATTAGTTGTTTGACACCCCAGCTATAATAAATGTCTACAGATGAGATCAAACAAAACAGATGAGAACTGCCCTTAAGCTGTTTAACTTGGACCAAGCATTTTAGGTCACAGATAGATGTAGCTTAGGGTCTCTGTCTATACACCTTATAAGACAATTTAGGTGATGGCATGTTGTTTATCTGCTATTGAACTGTTTTCTAATAATGTTGTGTTAAATAAAGTGAAGGAAGGAGAGAAATAACGTTTCCCTAGCAGTTTTTAAAAATGTCCCCATGTAATCCGATTAATCGATTAATCGTGTCGAGACCCCATCCGATTAATCGATTATCCAAATAATCGTTTGTTGCAGCCCTAGTCTGAAGCAGCTTTGAGCTCATTGTCCGCTCTTACCATGTGAATTTCCTCCACCACATCTTCCCCATCTGCTCCCTGTTGTTTTCTGCACCATCACTCATGCTTGGACGTCGCCCCTCACTTCCTCCTGTCTTCTTGACCAGGTGTGATTGCTGCTCACAGGATCACAGCTAGCTCCCCGGACACAGACCTGCCCACGGTGATGGCGCTGAGGGTGAGCACACCTTTGATGAGGAGAGTTCTGATGGACTTGTTTGATAGTTGTAGAAACGGCGTTCTGCACCTTAACGTCACTTTTCTTGTTTGTTTGTGTTTTGTGTAGAAAATGGGGGTGAATTTAACAACCAGCAACAAAGAGACTGTCAGCAAGAGCGATGTGCTGTTTCTGGCTGTGAAGCCACACATTATCCCCTTTGTTCTTGATGAGATTGGACCAGACATCGAAGACCGGCATCTCATCGTGTCTTGTGCTGCAGGTGTTACCATCAGCTCCATAGAGAAGGTACGAACTCTGTAAAAGTGAGACGTTACCCCACCGGCCTTTCTGCTGCCATTGTTTAGATATTAAAACCCTTAAAGGTGTTGGCCAGACTCGGCAGTAAAATAGTAGAAACTCAGTATAACTAGACGTTACCACCTATTTAAATATGAACTGGGTTCATGTTGTTCAGGACTTTTGTCATAAATCATCACAGGAAACCCAAATCCTCTCCTCCAGAACGGTGTTCCCCATACGACACGTAAAACCAGCTAGCTGCTGTTGCTGTGCTGTGAATGACTGTATTTAGTTTACGTTCGTGCTCTTAACTCATTCACTGCCAATGACGACTAAAGTCTCATTTGCACGTCTTTACTGTGTGGGCGTCGGGACGAGCCCCCGCATCGTGACACACGTCGTTCTGCTACAATGCTAATGCAGAAGCTCCGCAGTCGGGTTGTTTACTGCAGCTGTCCAGGGCTCAGACCGGAGGTTAGTCTCTGGTTTTCCCGCGCCGGTCTCAAACATCAGATTGTCTTAAAATCCAGGCGTGAAAATCCCAAAACCTTTTTCCTCTGAGGCTTTAATACTTCTCCACACGTGCTGCTGAGAGGAGTTCAGCCTCTGGCCGACATCTTTAAGAAGCTGCTTTAGCAGATCCCTGGACTCTTAAAGGGACACTTTGCAGCTTTTTCATGTTTTTACATCATTTTCTTGAGCCAGTACGTGCTGAAATAACCTTTACAGGGTCGATGAAATGTTACTCAGACCCCACGGCCCCGTGTGGCTAGAATACCGCACTTGCAACTTCAGAGTTGCTGGTCCAGTCCCTGCTGGTTGGTGGAGCTGCTTCCAGCAACTTTCCTGCATGTTCTAGATCACGAACACAGCTGATTTGTTTAATTTAGGGATGAACCGCTCCAGAGATGTTTCAGGAGGTAGATTAATGCGTTGAAAACAATGGGCACTAGGGGGTGCTAAAAGCAAGCTAAGCTGCCAAGTATCCCTTTAACACGCTTCTCCTGTTTTATTTGTGCAGAAGCTGCTTCAGCACCGTCCAGCTCCTAGAGTCATGAGGTGTATGACTAATACTCCAGTGGTGGTGCGAGAGGGAGCCACGGTGTACGCCACGGGGACGCATGCAGAGGTATCTGAAACCATGGACAGGTCTAGAAATGCAGAGGGATCTTCTGCTGTTAACACGATTTTTATGATTTTTCAAGGTGGAAGATGGTAAGTTACTGGAGCAGCTGATGGCCAGCGTTGGTTTCTGCACGGAGGTGGAGGAGGACCTGATTGATGCTGTCACTGGACTGAGTGGCAGCGGGCCCGCCTACGTGAGTTACAGCTTTTGTTTCCTGTCGTGATGCTGTCAGTGACGCACACAGGTCGAGAATGAGCTAAATACCCAGTCAGGCCCCGCCTTCAAAGGGCTTGATAATGACATCATACCAAAGGAACATGTTGAAGAAGACAGGAACAGACTCTAAGGCCTCGAACCCGAGAATACGAGCGTCACGCTGAGCATCGGGTGCATGGAGGGGATATGGTCAGGTCAGAAAAGGCCAGTCTCGTCTGCTTCGCTGCAAAAATGAGTATTTACCCCACCCACCTTGGCCTGGGACCGCCACAGGAATGAGAGAGCAGAGTGTGTTTCCGTTAGCAGCATTCACTCATTCATACGAGTGACCACCACAGATGAGTGAATTAAAGCTGCGTTTCCTCTGCCGGAGGTCCAGGAGGTCCCCGGGAGTGGGATGGTGTGTTTGTGCCATGGAAGGTAAAGGGTTAACCAAAGCCTCAGGTGGAGCACCAACCAGGAGGATCTAAAACGGGACATTACTCTTGTTTATGTAATAGGAGAGCGTTCAGCACCTTGGACAGTGGTTAGTCACTAAACGACCTGCTTGGAGCAAAGCAGCAACCGAGATGCTGACGCAAAAAAGAAAATGTAAAGTTTGACTTCAAACGTGAGCAGCCAGCGGCCTAAAGACTCAGGAGGAACGTCTGACGTGCGCAGAAGCATCGTGTGAGTTTAAAATAGGAAGGGAGGATAAGAAGAGTTGGTGCGTCTGCCGTAAGCTAACTAGCTAACTGGAGGATTTTTTTCACTTCTAACTAAACTGAACTTGTGCTGCTCGTCTTGTTTGTTGTGATGTGTTTTCCTGTCACAGAGAAATAAGAGTGTGTTTAATTAAACATCAGTGTTTGTGACTGAAACAGGCGTTCACAGCCCTGGATGCTCTGGCAGACGGAGGAGTGAAGATGGGCCTGCCCCGGAGACTCGCTGTCAGACTCGGAGCTCAGGCCCTACTGGTCAGTAGTTCCTGGTTCTCCGTGTCTCATCCCTAACTCCCGCATCATCCGGGAAACCATTTGATGTGCTGCAACAACTATTTCCTACTGAATATTCTGATGTTTGGTTTCTGCCCGTATTTGCTAAGGAGTGGCTACATCTGTGTTAAACAACCAATAAGACGTGATGAATCCACATAAATATGACATATGGGACTGACTCATCTCTGAATGTTTAATCAGAAGATTCTAGTCACTCACTTCTTCGGGGACCGTAAACACCTCGTATTAATTCAGACAGTCCGGTTTGGTCGCTGCAGTTCGTCTCCGTCCTCATCAAAGTTATTGAGTTTACAGGTGATCCCTCGTTTATCGCGGTAGATGCGTTCCAGACCTGGCCGCGATAGGTGAAAATCCGCGAAGTAGGGACACCATATTTACAGTATTTATTTAACAGGTACGTATTCCGTATTCAGACTTTTAAAACCCTCCCTTTACATAGTACTGTACTTTTACTTGTTTTTTTTATAGTTTTATTACAAAAAGTGCATTTTATGATGAAATTGATGGGAAAAAAACAGGAATTTCTTGATATTTCGCATAGAAAAATACAGCGAATCGGTGAAAAAGACCGCGAATCTGCGAATTTCCCTTGGATAAGGCTCCAAAGAAAAAATCCGCGAAGTCGTGAATCCGCGATAAACGAACCGCGAAGTAGCGAGGGATCACTGTACATCCTTGTGCCAGTCAGCAAGCTGTTACCATTTCATCACCTGTAAGTCGCTAAATAGAACATTTTCCTTTGAAGTCAACTAAATAAATGATGAAAGGATGCAGACTAGTGTGCAGAGGCTGAAGAGCAGTGGTCCGAGAAGTTAGCCTTGAGGTGGTGCCAAAGCCATTTCAAACAAGCCGCCGCCATCTTTGTTGTTCGGCTCCATCGCATCATCACGCCCACCCAACCAATAAAGCGCTGTAATTGGCCAGCCACCAGACTGGGCGGGGCTAAACCGACATGCAGAGTATCATCATGCGGATACAGATTTCTAAATGATTAGTTTTGTGCCGCTTCAGGTGTATTTTTCAGTGTGAGTGATCCCACCTTACTTCCTGGTATTCCGACATTAACAGTAAATATAAAGCGAGAACATCTTTTCTGCAGCTGAGATGAAAGTGATTATGGAATATTCATGACTGTGTTTATCCACAGGGAGCAGCTAAGATGCTGCTGGACTCAGAGCAGCATCCGGGTCAGCTGAAGGATAATGTGTGCTCACCAGGGGGCGCCACCATCCACGCGCTGCACTTCCTGGAGAGCGGAGGCTTCCGAAGCCTCCTGATCAACGCCGTGGAGGCTTCATGCATCAGAACCAAGTCAGACTGTCGTTAGTGGATGTTTGTTTGTTTGTTTTTCCGTAAGAGAATAATGAGTTTGTGTTTGTTTGGCAGGGAGCTGCAGTGTCTGGCAGACCAGGAGCGCATCTCTCCAGCAGCGATCAAGAAAACCACGTTGGACAAGGTGCTGCAGCAGCCTGGAGTCACGGTCAGCGGCGTCGGCAACGGCGGCAGCAGGTCGGGACTCAACCTGTTCAACAATCGCAGTTCTGGGATCAAAAAGAAGAACTGAGCCCCCCCTCCCACACTCACACACACACACATACACAGGTGTACCCACCGCAATAAAACTTAGGACTGCTGTGAAATCACAAACAGGTGATTATTCATGTATTCACTCCTGATGAACAGACCTGTTACACGTGATCTGCAGAAGCAGCAGAGCTGTTAGACCGTGCAGCAACGGGCCGTCATGGCGTTCTGGTGCACGCCATGCAGCAGAAGCCCTGTGGGATGGCCACCCTCCTCTTGTTACACGTCTGACTTTGTGGGTCTTTCATGACCGCTGCAGCGTAGCAGGAGCGCGCTCTCTCCTGTAAAGGTGATTTTTGAGCTTCCCCATCTTCCGTGTGTCTGAAAACCCAAAGCAGCTGTTAGGTGTTCTGCTCATCGGTGACTATGATGTAATGTTAGAACTGCTAGAATAAAGCTTAAGCATGTTCATGGTAAACAGCCTGCATTTGTATCACGCCTTCTTACAGTTCTACAGCCCCCCAAGGCGCTTCACAACACAATCACTCACCCACAATCTGGTGGTGATGAGCTACGATGTAGCCACAGCTGCGCTGGGGCGCGCTGACAGAGGCGAGGCTGCTGAATACCGCTCTCTCCGACCACCACCAGCAGGTAAGGTGGGTTAGGTGCCTTGCCCAAGGACACAACAGCAGCATTCTCTGTCCAGAGCCAGGATCGAACCTGCAACCTTCTGATTACTGGACAACCCGCTCCACCTCCTGAGCTGCTGCTGCCTCGTTCACGGTTTAAAGCACCCTCTTAGGAGTGAACTAAATCTGGATGTTCCTCTTTTCTTTGGCGTTTGTTTAACCAGAGCACCTGTGAGAGCGCTCTCTGGACCCCAGGTGGCGCTCTCTCAAAGTGCCTCATCTATAAATGCCTCCTGAGGATCAAATTACCCCTCATGTCATGTCAGTTAAACTTGACCCTAGCCTTGTGTTGAAGATGGCTCCGCCCCCTTGGTAAACCGGTGACGGTTGCTATGTCTCTCCTCGCCTTATTCTGTCTCCTCTGCCGGGTCGCGGCTGCCCCTGAATTCCTTCCCAATCACATCCCTCTTCTGCTAAAATTAGACCTGGTCTGCTCCAGAAATAAAATGAGGTGAATGTTTCTCCTCACCAGCTCTGAGGTGTGCTGTGATTGGCTGACCTAAGAGGGAGCGCAGCATCGTGTCTGCAAGGCGAAGGACCGGCGAGGATATTCTCTACGACGACAGTGATGGAGGTTTTCACCAAAGCATCTCATTTTAAAACATCCTTTTTACACCAAATATATTCTACAGCTTCAGCTTTTGCCTTTGTGCTTCCAGAGAACCGGCGTTTCTTGCTTATTCTTAATTCCTTGATGTTCGGATCAAATTCTAGTCTTTAGGATGGGTTTGGATGCTCTGAAAATAATGAAATATGTTTAAAAGGGAGGCAAAAAGACCAGAATGGTTTTTATTTTTACTGGAAGCTAAAGGGTGAAAGTGGTTTTGATGGGTCCTTTCTGATGTTTATTATACAGTTGATGTGTAAATAAAAGGTCTACAACCTGCGGCTCTGGGGCTCGATGAGGTCGTTGGTCCCGACCAGATCACACTGACATAGCATAAACAGCTTGTGCTGTTTCTCAGTTTAATGTTACTACGTGGTTTAAATCTGACAGATTATCACTAATAATAATAATAACCCGGATGAGTGGATGGGACATCAATTAAACTTTATTCATAACGAGATTTTCCTACAAAGAATGCATCTCTAAACTCTTTACAGGTTAAAATGACCCGACATAACCCTCATTCCCAACCCTCCCACACCAACACAGTCGCACCATCACCCCCCTCCAATACCAGTACACACACACACACACACACACACGAACATCAGTAGAAAGGGTTTTGGGGCTGAGTTCAGATGAACCAGATATGGTAGGGCAAGGAAACGCCATCAGCAGCTGAGGTACCGGCGCCAGGGGGAGGAAGGGCGTAGACCCCACCTCCACCCAACCACGACCCCGAGAGGAAACGCTGTAAAAAAAAAAAATCAAAAGTAACAGCAGCTAATATAATAATAAAATAAGTAAATCAATTACTTATTGTCAACATTATAGTCAACAGATATTTAGCATCAGACACGGAACAGGTTGAAGAATGCGCCGCGGAAAACGTCTGAAAATATGAACGTTTGTTCAGCCGTGACTGCAGGAGCACAAAGATATACAGCAAGAGTTTTATTGGTGGACAGAAAAGACGAGTAACAGGGTTTAGAGGTGCCGATTGCATGACGAGGTGAAGGGGGACACATTTGTTTGTGTTCAAAAATCTCTGAAATGCATTAAAACAACGTAAACACCATAAATCTATCGTGGACCAGAATCCTGAAATGGTGGCAGGATACCTCAGAACAACACCCCCCAGGAGACGGAGAAGTCTGACAGCAAAACATCTCTTCTTCGCAGAGCTGATGGAGAGGTATCATACTCTCTTACTGCAGAGGGGACGAATGACCTACAGCAGCGTTCTGGTTTACATCTGGGATGTCTCAGTCTGCCTCTGAAGGAGCTGTCCATGGTCTCCACTGTGGGTGGTCATCTTCCCCAGCATCCTCTTTTCACACGTCTCCTCAGCCGAGTCCAGCTCAGAACCGAGTTAGCTTTAGCTTGTTAAGAAAGAGAGCCACTCGTGCATTTATTTTATCTCCATAACTACAGCTATACTATGTTAGAACGTTGTTAGGAAGCATGAAGAACCACGACTTTGTTGTACAAATTTGCTAAAGCAGCTTTAACTAAAAACATTTGTGGCCGGCCTCGAGTGCCTATAAATACCCGGACAGCTGGTTGGGACTCGGGCGGTTCGGGTCAGCTGGTGACCTTTCAGGCACACCAAAAGATTTCTGTTTCTAAACTTTGTGATTGAATCTGCTTTGCTTTACTTCTATTTATTAGAAGTTTTAAAGTCCACTCTGATCTTTTTTACTTAATTTCTACTCAGTAGAGCTGTTTTCTGTGAAGGGCAATAGGAACAGGAAAAGTTGTTAAAATAATCGGACAGAAGCCGACTGAATAAGGAGCCAGGCGGTACATTTCTGGCTTTAAATGGGTGCGATGGAGAAGAACAAAGAGCAGCATCCGCAGCAGACCTGAGGTCTGAACTCGTTCCTCTCCTCCAGGCTGCTACGTTTGGATTAACTGGCGTCACTTTGTGTTGAAGTGAGATAGGCTTGTGGCGAATACATGTGCATAATGGTGAAGGAAAGAGGAATGATGGAAGAGCAGCGATGGTTTGAAAGAGCCATGTCCTCATTATAATTGGACAGTTTATAGCTGTGGTAGGATTAGCCTGTTTTTCCTTAGACTAACACGCACCAGCGTAGCTTGATTAAATTGCACCTTGAGCGCTTTTAGTGCACTTCGACTGTTTATTTGTGCAGGCGGTGTGTTGTTGCTGCTGAAGTGTCTGGATAATCCCTCCTTATTCAGCGCCGCTGTCCATTAAGATTAGCCATTCCAGGAGAGACTTTCATTTTCTGCTCGTTATTAGACTTCTGTCACCTTTCTCTGGTTTGACTGCATTTCTTCTTCCAAAGGTGGAGGGAGATGTGCTCTGTGTCAGTCAGCCTGATGCTGGCAGATAATCCTGCGCTGAAAGTGTGGACGTTTGTGTGGGTGTGTTTGACAGCCGGAGAGGCTGTGAGGGCTTCAGCAGGACATTTGGGATCCACAGGTAGGCCAGATGCTGCCTGTCACCTCCGCTCAATCAGTGCAGTCACTGACCTTTGCAATAACATGTTTGCATGTGGACGAGTATCAGAGGCCCTGGAGCAACGCCAAGGAGCAGGTTTCTGCTAAACACCACCAAACACCTGATGTGTCCATGAAAGGTGTGTGTGTGTGCGCGTGTGTGTGATGTGAGTGTGTGTTTTGTGTGTGTGTGTGTGTGATGTGACCCATCTCTGTGGGGAGTGGTGAACTGCAGCAGTGGCTGTGCTCAGGAACTATCTGGGGATTAACCCCCCCCCCCAACACACACACACTCCTACCCCTAGAGCTGAGTGTCAAGCAGGGAGAAAAAGAAGAAGAAGATATCATTTCTATAACGCCTCTCAAGATAAAAATCACAAGGCGCTTCACAAAAACAAAAAATATAAAAAATTGTAAAAATATAAAAAAGCACTTAGAAAATGTTTAAAAATATATTCAAAATGAGCAAGAATAAGCAATTGCGATTTAAAAGAAAAAATGTTAAGAAAGACAGAGTGAATAGGAAAGAGGGAAATCTGTGTTAAGGTCTTTGATTTGACCCGACTGGGACCCTGGGACTGGGATTGAACTTCCCAGTCATCCCAGTCCCAGGGCCCAGTCCCAGGGCACGAGGCCACTGAGAAGTTGTGAGAGTGATGTTGAAGCTGATGCAGGCTCAGCTTTGTCCAGCTTCCTGGTGAAAGAGGAAGCTGTGCGGTTACCACATCGTTTGTGAATCTACATTATTGTTTTTCCTCCGTAAGCAAACTCTGGACACGCAAATCTACCTTTCTGCACACTAGGTGTAACATGCCTAGTGTTTCACATGCGTGTGAAATCCAAGCAGCTCAGGTCGTTCTTTGAATTAGCAATACTTCTTACTTATTTTTTCCATCAGTCAAACTTCTTTATAGTGTTTTTCCTACAGAGAATGTAACTCAAAGTGCTTCACAGGTTAAAATGACCCCACATAACCCTCATTACCCCCCAACCCAACTCCCAAACACACATCAGGAACAATGATATAGAACTGATTTGTTGCATTGAGAATAATGAAGGACACATGTTATGTATGTAGTTATAAAAGTTATAAATGCAGTTATATGAAGTTCTTACTCTAAATCCCTCTTTCATGAAGTGATTTCTTCACCTCCTTCTCTGTTCATTTGTATGCCGATGATGCAGTATTATATTCCACCAAGCCAAATCATTTAGAATTGCATGAGATCCTGCAATTCTAATTTTAATATACATAATGTGTGGTTAACTCAAAATACACTCATTCATAATAACTCTAAAACATATTCAATGCTGTTTAGAAGATATTCTTCTACAGTTCGGGAAAGTGGGAATCTGGAACTACATTTTATGGACCGCTCCGAAGTACAATCCACTGAGAAATGAAAATACTTAGGAGTTTGGATTGAGCCAGATTTATCATTCAAAAATCATGTTTAGACAGTTTCTCATTAGGTTACTAGTTGTTTAAGAACACTGTACTGCTCTATCAGTTGTTTTGAGCTTGCAGTACGGAAATGTACTGCAACTCAGCTTCTGCTTCCAATTGTGATTCTGCAGATATAATCTATCCGAACTCTTCTAAACTGGATGTTACCTACAACAATGTTTGTCGTTTTGTTTTACGTTGTCCATTCAGAACCCATCACTGTCACGTGACATGTCCGAACGCCTTTCACTGAAACTTCAATGGTT